AACAGAAGTGAAAAAGAATGTCACCTTTGGTGGGAAAGGAAAACGCCCCGGCCAGTTTAACTATGTGAGGGGACTGACCGTGTCCTCGACTAACGAGATATTTGTGGGTAGACATGCAAACAAAGAATCCAGGTCTTCAGCATGAAGGGAGTTTTCCTTCGCAGTTTCCCTACAGGAAACATGCATCCAACTGACATTAACCAGAGGCCGCAACGACACCCTGTGGGTCGTATCGTACTCACGTTCGTGGTTTAAATATGGACATGCCATTCAACAGTACAGCAAAGAAGGCAGTGTCCTTACTAAGTTTAAATGCAGTGACACTAGACTCCGTAGCATTGCCTGGCACAAGCTTTCTGGCAGAATCATACTCAGTCTGTATAAGCCGTCAGCACATTTCAGCACTGCATGGTTAAGTCCTACTTACACACAGACAGAGGCAACACCATGGCTGACGTGTGACATGACCGGGTTTGAATTAACAGGAAGTAGGTACACAACTCTCCGGTTTGTCACCGTGGACAAGAAAGGGAACATCTTTATCGCAGACGGCCATGAAAATCATGTAGAAAAGTATGACAGTTTTGGTAATAGAGGTACCGGAGCAGGAAATCTTTCTTCCCCCCGAGGAATCTGTGTGGACAGTTTGGGGCGTGTGATTGTGGCTGATAGTAGGAACAGCCGAGTGGAGATGTTCACAGCTGAAGGAAAACACATCCGCACCGTAGCTTACCTTACTCAACCCCAGTATGTTGCTACAGATGGGGAGGGGCAGCTTGTGGTGTCACATCAGCAAGGCTTCATAACTATCTTTCCCAAATATTAGAGCCACAACCACTTTTTTTCACTACCAAAAAAGGGAGACCTTGGTTATGCAACTAAACTATAGAGGAATCAGTTTGTCGGCTACAGCAGCAAAAATTTACAACAAAATGTTGACAAAAAATAATCAAATGGTTTTCAGCCAGGCAGATCAACATGATCTCAGATATTAGCTCTTAGAAGACTCATTGACAGTATCAAGGATCAGAATCTTAAAGCAGTCATACACTGGATTTGTACTCAAGCCAAGAAAGAGCAGAAGATACCCAGCGGAGTTATTACCAGACACAGATTTTGCTGATGATACTGCCCTTATCTAAAATATGACAGCAGAAGCACAGTTATTATTGCACAGAATAGAAAATGCTACGAAAATTGTGGGGCTTCATGCCAATGATTTGAAAACAGAGTACCGGTATATGGTTTTCAACCAACCGGAGGGAGCTCTGATATCAACAAAAGGTCAGGCTCTAAAGTGTGTGCGAGACTTCAAATATTTGGGATCTTGGTTAAAAAGTTCAAGCAAAGGTGTTGAGGTTAGAACTGCTCTTGTTTAATTGGGGAGCCATGAGTAAGATATCAGTAGTGTGGAAAACTGATTTAAGCCCAGCTGCAGAAATCAGTTTCATTTATAAGCAGCAATAGAATCAATCCTTCTCTATGGTCAGAGTGCTGGACACTGAAAAAACAATGGAGAGAAAGTTGAATGGCATACACTAGAATGCTGAGAAATGTCTTGAACATCGCATGGACACAAATAATTTCAAACCGTGAGCTGTACAAAACCATACTACCGATTGAAACAATACGGCAAAGGGGACACTACATTTTGTAGGCCACTGTTGGAGGAAAAATGGAAAAGGTAGTACACGAAATCTTACTGTGGAACCCGAGTCATGGAAAGAGAAGTCTTGGAAGACCACATTTAACTTACATAAAGCAACTAGAGGCCGACAGTGGAATGACTCTAAGTCAACTGCCTGCTGTGAGATGGAGGAGAGAGAGAAATGGAAACAGACAGTCATGGGGAGACTGCGAGCGAGCTCGACACACGTACAGTGAGTGTGAGTTAGAACCACAACAACTCATTTCTGAATCAGTGGTTCTCAGACATTTTTCAGTACATATTCAGCAATAGGATGAGGTTCATGTAAAAGGCAGGTGGCTGGAAGGAAAACTTGAGACTGACTACATTTACTTAACTGAAACTGATCAGTTAACAGCAGGGGGCAGTGGACAGACTTGCAATAATTGCTTTTGGTTGTATCAATAGAACTAACTGGTAAATCAGTTGTTTGATTATTAGTAAATAAGCATAGTATTACTTATAAGTGCCTGTTTGGCTGCGATTTCTTTCTTTTAAAGACTACCAGCAAAATATACTCAATTCAAGAAAAAGTGCAGGAAAAGTGTGAGCAAAGTAGACAATTTTCAATTACTGCATGCGTTAATGACTGTAAATTAGCTGAAATCAACATGAAACAATTAAATGGTTGATGATGTAACATACATTAATTTTGTAATATGAAGAATGAGAACAAGTAATTTACGTCCATGTAAATAGCACAAAGTGAATCACCCAATAGAGTAGAACTACCAGTAACATCAATGATTCATGTTAATGTTATTGTGTTGTAGAATCAAGTAAGAGTATTGAAACTGTAGTCATCTTCCTCTGTCAAGTAAAAGTTCATTGGACCTCCTACCAAGGATCACAACAACTGAGGCACTGTACATACATGTAAGCATGGTTCAGTAAAAAAAACTGTTCCATAGACGTAATGACTACGTAAAGGACACACAAGTATACATTGCAGCAACAAGATGATAACATTGTACAACACTTACAAAAGTGTAAAAAGAATGTGTTGCTGAATTGCAGTAGCAGCAAACGTTTAACAACTCAAAAGAATGCATTTAATTTAATTTATAAGAAGAGATGGGATGCCTGAATGTGCTAGCAAACGAAGCTCTCTACACTTATACTTACATTAGGATGTCATACCGGCATATCACTGCATGACATACCAGCATATTTATGACACAATCGCTTGTTCTGCCAAAACGCTATTAGTAAGCGAAACCATGATTCCAGAGCTCAAAATTCCCACCAACAGCGTACGTGCAATGGGCAATAAAGAATACTTTGGCAGGTTTAAAAGATACAGGCCTGCTGTATTCTTCATGTATAAAGTGACACTGAATATATACAATGTATATAGTTTGGGAATTTCAATCCCAGCTGTTGTTGCTCACTTAACATGCACACAACTGAAAAGAGTTGCAGGTGTTAGGATGAGACGTTAAGCCGTGCTCCACTGTTCATTGTGCTATGGTCCAAAAGACCTACGGGAATTTCCCCAGTACAATGAACCTGTAAATACTGTACATACACATGTGGCATCTGTCTTCTTTCTCATGATCAGTGGAAGAATTAGTTTTCACTGGATCAAGATGATCACTTTGCACTTCTAGTGGCCTATCAGGCCATGAACAGGCAAGTACAAATAATTCATGCTACATAACTACAAAAACTTTCACCAACTGTGAGCCATTGATTTGGTGTATTAATTACTGCATTTGCTTCTATACTGGGGCACTACATTGTACATTTTGTAATATATAGATGAAAGGCCCTTTATGGCCTAGTTGGCGCCGGGTGGCGCAGTGGTTAAGAGCATTTGACTATTATTATGATAATAAATAATTTTGAAAGAATCCGAATGTCCACCAATTATAACTTTATTGCAAACTGTCATGTCATAAGGATAATTGTCAATGTTAATGTAAATATTATATATGTATCTAGTAACAAATTTATACTCTCAGATATAATCAATTCAATCATAAAGAAAATCCTAACATTATGAAAACTAATGTCATACAAAAGGAGACCCTCTACCAAAAGACTATGATTTCCTTTTAGTAATAATGTAGTGGAGATTGTAACAAACTACATGTATTCGCTATCTGGTCATTACAATAATTGTAAATTCAGAAGGCGCGTTCACTTGCACAACAAAGGTCTGAGAGCCCTCTTTGGAATCCATCAATCTCTTCACCAAGCAACTGTAAACTCAACTGTAAACGGTCTTTAAATGTCCCCATGGCGGACATGGGGAGGGATCCCTTCTCTAAACGCCATTTAACACTACATGCATGCCCGTAGGCCGGGGGGGGGGTTCGGAAGAAGGCTCAACGGTCCACTTTTTGGTCCACTTTTTATGTAAAGGTCCACGTTTTGGTCCACTTTTTGTGTAAAGGTCCAAGATTTTTCTTGAAAAGATAGAATGGAATCGTAGAAAAACTGCTACCTTTGTCATTGAATAAAAATTTATCTCTTTATTTTTCTTTGAAATCCTCTCGAAAACGCACGAAATGCCATTTTAGAAGGTTCATTTTTCAAATTTTCAGGGGGAGCATGCCCCCGGACCCCCCTAGGAACCTCGCACCTACGGCGCTCGAGGTCCCCTCAAGCAGTGAGCTTCTGAAGTTTGCAAGACATTAGATTAATGTGGCCAGTGTTTTCATATGCCTCACATTCGCCCAAGTTATTTGTCTTAAATATTTCTCATATTTCATACTAACCCGAAGCACTAAGTAATTGCTTTATGGCAATCGAAATATCATAGTACTACACTTAGTCTATTAGTCTAACTCCAGAAGCATCACCAAAAATGGAAATATTGTAAATTATAATGAATCAGATGTTATTTGGCTTTATCAATCTATCTATATATTGATTTGCAAATATTGCCTTAGAATGTTCAGATCTTGATATTGGAATTCATCTTAAAGAACAGTATTGGTCTTCTTGACACAGGCAGCATAGATTTGATTTAATCTTTACAGCTTGCATTTGAGTAAGAATTCTTGCACAAGGGTTCTTTCCGTGTCTAGAGGCCGGGCGTCTCACGTGCGATTCTTTCCAAAGGCATTGTTGAAAGCTTCATCATACCGCCCTGCAAGTTGCTTGAATGCCATGACCACGTTGTCCTCTTCGTGTCCGAGTTGTTCCAGGGCGATGCTGAAGATGAATAATAATTTCTCAATAATCCAAATCTGTAAGAGTTACAATTCACCAACAACACTACAAGTCATAAAGATATCTGTGTACCCTCCATTAGTAGAGTAACTACAAGTATTCACTGTTTTAGAAGTTTTTATTTCCGAAAATAATTTCATCATTTTGGTAGAACACAAGATATCTTGTAAAAATGAGTAACTTTTCTTTTATTTCAGAAAACACTCTCCTCTTTTTGGCAGAACATAAGATATTGGAGGTTTTCTATACGTCAACCAGTTAAGAAACTCACCTGCTAATATGTGTTATTATGTGTTTTACTTGATTATTGTGATTTGTATTGATTATTATGTGATACCCTGCATCAACTCTGCCATGATGTAGATAAATCACTGGAGATAACAAAGCTCCAGATTTATAAGCTACTCCACTTTTTGGTAACCATCCGTCACCTAAAATTTGTACTCATGGCAATGGAAGAGTCCATAGTGTGCATGCAGGCGCCTTCCCACACACGTACCAAAAAGGAAGGAGAAGAAAAAGCAGGCGTACTACAATTGGACAAACTGACCAAACTCAACATCACTCAAAGGAGGATATAACCACCCTCAAGCATCTAGGAAGGAACCAAAAAGAGTTGACTCTACCGGCAGACAAATGAAATGCTATAAAGGTAACACTATGTAATAAAAGATTATGAGACCAAGGTTACTGGCATTCTGACTGCATAATGATTTTCTGGTCAATTGGGCTCAAAATGAGGACATGTCTGGAGAAGAAATATAACAGAAAACAACAGATTTCATCCATACCTAAGGTATTAACTGACTGCAGGAGGTTCTATTGAACAAACATCTTTGCTCTCTGATTGTATACGAAGAGCTTTGTTATCCAGACTTAAACAACAAGACTGACAATGAAAACATACATTGCCATGGCGATGGTGGTTGTTGTTAGGATTATTGTTTGCACATGGCACTGTTATGATTTCATGATTATGGGAAACCTCATTGCGGTCTGTCATGAGTTTGTTAAAAATAACAGTTGAGGTCGCAAGTCTCTAGCAATAGCTTTCAAATTCTGGGAGCACCAGGGTTCGTTCACTATACACTCATGGGAGGGTAGGAGTGATCTACTGAACTGTATTTATATTATTATGTATACCTTGTTACCTGTTAAGTCTAGACATATACAGTGCAGATTAGTAGATCACCCCTCCCCTCCCCTGAGTGTTTGGTGAACACGCCCCAAGCAAAGAAGGGCATCCCTACAGAAAGTTTGTCCCAAGGGTCCCCATGCGGGAATTTCACTTAGTACATGTAGGACTGTGGGCAAAGATGTGTGTCAGCAAAATACCAGAGCTGTGAGACATTGCTGTGGACATTCAATGCCTGTGGACAAAATTCCTGTACAATTCCTAGAATTCTTGCAAACTGCACACAATACTGTACCATAGGGCTCCCCTGAGGCATCGCCAAAAACACTTAAGGAAGAGGAAGACTTACTAGATGGACTTGATGGTCATCATAAAGTCCTTCAGCGCTTGGAAGGCAAAGCCAGTTCTCAGCCTGAAATGCATTGAAGAAGAGTTTACATTGGTTCTGGTCTCAACATATCAAAAGGCCAGTATCTTCAAAGTACATGAATTGTATAGAGTGACTGATTTCTTCTTAACAATACATTTCAGTTTCAAAATTGTTTTACTGCAAAATCATTATCACGGCAGATGGAGTAAAACATTACATGTATGATTCAGAAATAACAACTAAGAAAAATATCCAAAACAAGTATTATATCTCAGGAAGATGCTTAATAATATATAATATATAACTGTTGCAAGACTGAGAGTGGCACTTCATTCCAAGAGGATGACCTAGCCTGAACTAAACCGAACTGAAAAGTAGACCATCATCATGGATTTTTACCCATTGTCCTTAATGATTGCATCGTAGGATTGGTGTTTGAAGAAGTCCAGTGCATAGGAGTTTAGGTACTGCCGACGACCCCGTCTGTCGTGTTTCTCCAGGAGAAAGGTGGGTGCTGAGTCCATGTCCATGTACAGACCTTGTCGCACAGACTGCAGAAAAAATATGGCTAAAATTTATTTTCTTCATTTTTTTCTGATTTGCAAATAAAAATAAACATTCAGAATCAACTGCAAAATGCTCATATTTTGCCCTGAACAGTTTAAAACAGTCCTTTTCTTCCTACTTGTTAGTTATTCCATTTTTCAATGCAATGGCATCATTAAAAGTTCAAAATTCATTGTTTAACTTTTGAACCAGCCTGGTGTGTTGTCTTCATGGCTCTATCGTACCATTTTGGGCCATAATAGGATGCCTAGGCCTGTTTTTATTACCTCCATGAAATGTGTCATGGAGGTTATATTTTCAGTCGCGTTTATCTGTCCGTCCGTCTGTCCGTCTGTTGGTCAACAAGATAACTCAAGAACGCCTGGATGGATTGGTTTTATACTTGGTGTGTTGGTAGGGTGTGACGAAAACTGGAAATGATTAGATTTTGGTCCCCCTAGTGGCTTCCCTTGGTACTGCAGCGCAACTTCCGGTTTTGATATCTCGCGATCTGGACATGCTAGGGTCAGTCATGAAATTTTGATGGGAGGTAGCTCTCGTGCTTGGGAAGAAGTCACATGAGTTTGGGCCCCCTAGCGGCTTGTTCTGGAACTGCAGGGCACTTTCTGGCGAAATGTTTAAAAGCCAATAAGTCCAGACAGGAACAACACATTTTCATTATTTTTGGTGTGTAGGTAGCTGAGAGAGAGATGTACATAATTAAATGCAAATTATGCAAATGAGGACTTTATTTGCATAATTAATGAGGAAATTCTATAATTACAGTGTTTTACATTGTACTACTACATGTATGTAACCTATGGCAGGCGGACCTTCAACAGATACTAATTATGCAAATGATGACCTAATTTGCATAATTAATGCGAAAATTCTATGATTTCGTAATGTTGAATGATGAGAATGTCATACTTGGGACATCTGTAAGTTAATCAAAAGTTAACATACATCACGATGCATATATCATGTTAATGCAGAGGTCATTTGCACAATTAAAGAAGAAATTTACATTTACATATCAAGATCAGATTTCATGGAGGTATGAGATCTCGGAATTCTAGTTTTTTATTTTTTTCGTCCGCCCACTCCATTATCTTTCTAGAAAAATCCGTTAACCAAGAAATTAAATTGGTGTGGCCTTATTATAGATTTGTTTTTGGAAAACTGAGGATACAATCTGCATCATTGTTGTTTTGTCATGAGATTACATGATTGTATATAACGTTATACTGGTGTCAGCATGTACAGCATACATGTATAATACAGTGTGATGTACAAATGTAGAGTGGATAAAGAATTACACAAACTACCTCAAACATGTTGTCGGACTCCTGAAAGTTGTCATCATTGAGGCCAGAGAGGGCAGCAAATGTGGAAACTACACTGAAGTGAATCTGGGACTGGCGGAGCTGTGCTGTCAGTGTCTGACTGTCTGCTGATGGGGCACCAGTGCCTGCTGACAGGAAGTCTGGTAAGGAGTAAAAAAACAAAAATATTATGGCTAATTTGTAAAGTGTACAATCATACTTAGTTTTTTAGTATATCATAAGTACATGTTATGATATGTCAGTCAGTCTCATAAGACTATGACTTGACTGCGCAAAACCAAAAACAAATGGTTCATTCCTAATAACAGAGTCATAAATCATCATGATACAAAAATAAGTACATGTAACATTTGCAAAACAAATGCATAAAGTTTACCTTCAGACAATTGGTTAAGATGCCCTGTTAATTTTTGCTCAAACACATTTACATACATGAACTACGAGTATATGGTGACAGAAGTAGAGCTGACCATGAAATCGCAACATTATGAAACCTAACACCAGTCACCATGGTGACAGACGTCAACAAATCATGTCATTGGTCAGGTTAGAGGTTAGTGTTTGGAACAGAAGAGGAAGAAGAAACATAGTAAAAACAATATGTTTTCCTTTGGTAAACAGAATAATCTGTCCATGTTTAATTTTCTTTTTCTTTTCTTACAGCACATTGTAACTGTTGCAAAGTTCTTTACCTATTTGGGAAGCAGGTAGGCTGGTCTCCTGACCAAGCTGAGGAGCCAGGGCCTCTGCCACAGTACACAGGTAGGAGTGGAACAATTTCCACGTCTGTTGATTATACTGCCGGATGGATGAAGACACAAATTCTGGGAGGTCTTCCAGAATCAACTATATAGTGAGGAAACATTTAGTGAAGTTACAGAATAGTAAAAGAATTGATAGCTGCCTAAAATTTCTTTTTCTTTACACAACATGGTTGATTTAAGACCCTGATAAAGTGGCAAAACCAATGGTACAGTCTGGGCACAGTACACAGTGTTACATTATTGTATTTAAGTGTTATAATTGTTACAGTAGTGTTTATTATTGAAAGAACAAAAAAATCAAATTACATCACGGCATGGCTAAGATGAAACGCGGTTTCTCTTTTTAGCGAACGCCCACGAATGCCCAGGAATTTCTTTGCGTGGCCATGTCCAGAGTGTGCTCCTGCGTGTTCATACCAAGTTTGAAGCGAATCCATCAAACCTTAAATAAATCTAAATTTACTGGTTTTTTTTCTCTTCTTAGCAAATACCCACTTTACTTCCGGGTTTGAAGGGAATGCCCACTACTCCTTGCAAAATATCAGCCCTCGCACAACACCGGCAAAATCCACCACCACAAACATGTTCATATAGGAGTCCCTTGAATTTCTGCAAAGTTTCCGTACTTTACAAGCTTTTAAAGTACCCTTTCTTCGGCAAAATGTGCACTGTGTGTACCTTTGACTGGCTGAGTTCCTTTCTTTGTTTCATGTCCTTGACTGTTTGTGGAGTGATTGTAGCTCGCAGGTAGCTCCTCCCAAACAGGTTAGCCAGAATCAGCACCAATCGACGTAACACGTCGTCAGAGAAGTGACTGGTAGAACCTTAAAAGTAGAAAATGAAATTTAGAATGTTAGCAATTGAAACCAGCTCTGAAGCTGTATTGAAAGAGGACTAAGTTGTTCTTCATATTAATTAGTCCTTACAAACTCTGTAAATTCCAATACCAAGTCAGAAAAGAACAGGAAATAGTCATGCAGATACCTTAGTTGTGGTGGTTTTATTCAATAAACACATTTGTGGATTTTGCAGTGCGAGGACATTGCGAAAATGAAACCATCACAAAAGTTTCTGCATTTACAGTATTCTTTGATTATTCTAAACTGGGGTGAGACATTCCAGTCTACAGTAAGGGTTGCATGATGCTAACGTTACTGATACTGCACAACTTATGGATATCCTAATAAAGTATCAAAGACCATGCCAGAACTGACCGTCTTCAGGCACACAGATCTGGTGAAAGATGCCCTTCTGCAGCAGCCACACCAGGATGAAATTGGAGGGTTCATGATAGTGCAGGTGGCTGGCCAGGCCTGCCATGCCTTGCGGGGTGCCCTCCAGGTCTAGCAGGCCCTGTAGAACAATACAGAGCAGACTGTTCCTTCACATGGGGAACCACTCTCCACAACTACAAACTCTGGTACCAATGCAGGACACCCCTATACATGTGTACACCACGTAGTAGAACTTGAATAAAAGATATATTCTGCATTCTGGGAGGTATAACTGTTATGGTGCAGATTAAGTAGTCTGAGCTATTCTGCGAGTCTTTTCAGATCAGACATCCTAAAGGTTGAATGCAGACTTTAAAAGTTTTACCAACATGTTTGCTAGTCATATAAGTCTGGACTAAATGTACTTTGTTTGTTTTTTCATGGTGACAACTGGAATCCGTAGTCCAGTGTTCTAGCTTTTCTCTAAGGGGTTATAAGTCTCAACATTCCAGACCTGACGCATGAGGAACTGTATGCTGAAGAGGAAGTGGTGCTGCAGCTGGGCTAGAAACTGTGGCTGGTTGTGAGACAGGAACGGATGCTTCAGGAGATTGAGAGCCTGGGGAACAGTCACAAAACTTCACCTTTCAGTTCAAGAGAGTTATCATGTTAAACGTACATGAGACAAGATGGTCACAATAACTATTCTACATGTACATTCTGACTTTTATTAAGTACACGTACAAAATTTGGTTACTCAGACACATTAAACATACATGTATTCTCATTGTGCATGCATTAGGTTTTATGTAAAGGAAAAGCTACATGACTCTGTATAATTAATATAGGGCCTATTCGTAACTTGTGTTCTGATGACACACCTTGTTAAAGGCATCAGTTTTGTCGTCCCCCTGAGCCGTCAGCAGCATGACCCTGAGCACCAGGCTGGGAGTTAGCGGGTAGTTCCCTGTCAGCTCAGGGACATTAGCGGCAAGCAGTCGGTTGATCTTCGGCTTAGGCAACCCAAAAAATACCACATTGCCAACAGAATCAAACCCTCTTCTGCCTGCACGTCCAGACATCTGGGAAAGGAACATCAACTCTGAGTCATCAACTACAACATCATCCAGCAATCCAAACAAAGATTATTCAACGTACCTCTATCTTCAGTCATAGGAGGTAACCATACGCACTTATCATGAGGATTTATACATAGACCTTATATACATATAGACCACACCATATTTGCACTTGTCAAATGTAATCCAATTTATTGCTTTAGTTATCTAAGTCACTCTGGTGTGGCGTAGATTATTCGACTGTGAACTGGGAGACCCGGGTTCGATCCCGAGTCGTACCCAGGACATGTCTGAACATGCGCCCGACGTTGTGCCCTTGGGAAAGGAACTTTACACGACTTTCCTCACTCCACCCAGGTGTGAATGGGTACCTAACTTCGGTTGGTGAAAGCCGTATTGAGGTCACATTGTGGCGCCGAATGGCAGCCGCACAGACCCTTGCGGCAGTTCCACAAAAATGTGGAACAAATACATGTATGTATCATGACATTGTGTATTATGTGGCTGTATTATTATGTGTATTATTACCATTTGTATCATATCAGTTGATTGTAACCCCTGCATCAATTCAGCACTATAAGGCTGCGATTGCACGGGTGATGTTTGGCCAATAAACCATTTATTATAGAACGTCAGCATGTGTCTATCTGTATCTGAATAGCAGGTATAACCGCCTTTCGGCGTAACACACCAGCTTTCTCCATTATTGGATAAACATCAAATTACAGCATCATCTGTTTTGCATTCTTCCACCCATTTACACTTAGTATCACAGTGAAATCATATCTGCAGATGGCTTATGGGCAACAATGTATATAATTGTTTTATAATGATCCTGCAAGGTTGACTGGCCGTGTTTATGTAAAGTCAGTGAAGGCGTTTTACATGTGGTTTACCCCAAAGCCGGTTTCAAGTGGCTCCATTTGAATGCTCCAAATCACATTGAAAGCGCCTCGATCCCAAACCACTTCTAGAGGTGGTTTCGAATCTGTTTTCCCGCATCGCGATTTGCGTCTGAACGCAATGTGATTTCAATGTAACTTCGCCTGGTCATGGATTAAGGGGTGATATTTCTTTATTTATATGCAATACCAACTTTTACGTGGCAGCAACTTAAAGAGCAGTAATGGTGAAACAATGTGTCCGTTCTAGGGTGAGCTTCACTGCCTCTGGCGGGACCACGTCGGCATTTGGCCGAGATACACTGGGAGGGGGGCATCAGCAAGCAGGTCGTTGACCTCTGACATTAATAACACGCTACCTTGCGTGTTTTCATCAAACAACAATAAATGTAGCTCAAGCGAATTGTGATCGGACACGGTTTCAAAGGCACGTGCACCAGATGTGAGGAATGCGAGTTACCCGAATCGCAGTTTGGGTGACTTCACATGAACAAGGCTAAACAGCACACACATGGCCTTACCTGTCTGTACTCCAGGGCATCCAGATACACAGAATCACCAGCGAACACCACAGTCTTACAGGGCATGTGGATACCAAGTGCTAAGGTTGCAGTAGCCACGACAACCTAACATAATAAAGATCATGAAAATGTAACTTGACAATTGTTATGACACCTGATCTCACAGTACTAAACGTGGGACAAGTCAAGTTAAACTTTCTTCTAATTAAAAAGTTTGCCAAATGATGTTAACCATTAGAGCCAATTAATGCTTTTCATTGATTATGAAAATAAAATCCTCATGAATTTCATGTTCTCCACTAAATGAGTCTCATGGAGAATGAAATCTGTAGCATCTACCAGTTCTTGAATTATCATCCTATTTTTTTCTAAAACTAAAAACACAGTTCCAGAACGAGCTGCTAGGAGGCCCAAATTCACGCCACTTCTTCCTGAGCTACATGTACATTTACTATACACAATTAATGACCCTAGCATGTTCAGGTCATGAGATGCTTAAACCGGAATTCCCACTGCTGTACCAATAAAGAGTGGGTCCAAATTCTAATCCTTTTGAGGTCTCATCAAGACCTACCCACCTACCAAATGAGAGATAATCCATCTAAGCCTTCTCAAGTTCTGCTACCAAAATCTCTTAACCTTCAGAATTAAGCTTAAGCCAGCCTGCTTGTGATGCATGACCACTAAATTTGAGGTGAGAAACTTTTTCTATGTTTCTAGTAAATGTCTACAAATATATTGCATTGGACAAACCTTCAAATGCTTATTTCGAAACATTGTTTCCACAGTCTGCCTTTCCTTTGCATTCATCCCAGCATGGTGATATCCTATGCCTCTCCTCAGGCCTCTCTTCAGAAGATGACCACCAGAGAGGTAGTTAATCCTCCTCTGATACCTCTGCAGCTCCTGAAAGCATTCAACGCTTAAAGCTACATTATGTAACATTAGGATACAAAAAGTAAATGTTCTGGTCATTTCTTTACAAAGTAAGTTGAATCAACCCTTCTCCATTGCAAATGAGGGTTATTCAAATTTAGGAAGTGGATGTGACAAAGTATGACACCTTTAAAAGCTGGAAACTAAGCTGTCAGCCATGTTCCTTTACATGTACATTCCGGTAGTTTGTGGTGTTGCCACAAATTGAATGTGTCTTGTGTGGACGTCCAGACTGTTTCTAGTGCCAAACATACATGTCAGAAATAATATTCTGCACATATGTTGAAAAGACAAAAGTGGGAGTAAACTACAATTATAGGAAGATTTTTCCTATTAAAATGTCAATTATTGGTGCAAAATGTTAAATAATGCCCCTTTAACTGTGTTCAGGAGCATCATTTACACACATGTTTTTGACATAGCCAACTAAATATTGTCTACAATCTACAATCATGTACTAGTACTTTCAAAAGGTAAAAACTGACAATGTATGACCAACTGTTAACAGATACATGTACAATGTAGCCCTATATCTTCATGGCTTTCTTTGTTACCACATGACTGCTTCTTGTTTTCTTTAAAAAGTACCTCAGAGCTGTGGAGGCCTTCAGAAACAAAGCTGTGCTTCAAAAAAGCAAGGCGCATGTTGGCTCCGTCCTGATTCACATGTTTAGCATCAGGCACATCTTTAGCTTCCAGGGTATACCCCCTATATAAAACACACACAGAAAGGAAAGTCTCTATGTCAGGCAATGATTGTGAGATACAAAGACATGCAACTCACTCCTACATGGGCTATACCCATGCAAGGTAAATTACTTCACAATACATTACTATTAATTTGATTGATCAAAAATATTTTCTTTTGAATATTCATGAATTACAGGCATGATGTAAGTTGAGAGAGGCAAACAAACTATCATCCACGATATTATGGATAACAGTTTGAAATGATTCAAAACTTTTTAGTTGACCTTTGTTTGTTATAATTATAATGTCATGTAGTTTTGTTGGGGTTATCCCCCCAGGAATCTTTGAAAAACACCAATAGGGGACATGTATTTCCTGGTTAAATAAATAAACAAACAAACAAACAAAAAACAAAACTGTTAGTACTTACTTCTCTTCTTTGTCTCGTACACGCTTTTTCCCTTTCTCAACCTTTCTCATCATGGCCAGGTCTTTTTTGATACTGGATTGGGTGACTCCCATGCTTTCCAAGGTCTCCATTTCCATCTCTTCGAGAGTTACATCCACCTTGTGTACAAGGTGTTCTATCAGGCCGCGACTAAAGCTGTGGTGACAATAGCATAAATAGCAAAAAGAAGCTTAGTAAGTCCAATTCGAGTAAGCAAATGCCACAAGGCCTCTAAATACATATTGTTTAATTTACAATATACCACTCTATACCACCAATATTACCATATACCACAACATGGATACACCCATGTCAACCATGTTGTAAAGCAGGGCAACCAGAAAGTGTACCTACTCAAGCGACTACGGTGTTTTGATCTCTCCCGAGAAGACTTACTGACGTGCTACAAGACCCTTGTGCGCCCTGCATGTGAGTACGCCGCCCCCGCGTGGCATGCCGGACTAACAACGGCACAACGTGCCAGGATCAAAACCCTTCAGAGAAGAGCCTGCCGCATATATATAGTCCTTGGACCAGCCTACGCATCCTACAGGAGGCGTGCAGCATCTTGGACCTGCCTACACTCGATGACCGGCGACGTGACTTGTGCCATCACTTCACAAAAAGACTGGTAGAGACATTCAGAAACTGGTTTCCCCCTACGCGGGTAGACATCAGTTCAAGGGACACTAGAAACAAACACCTTCTGACTAGGATAAGAACAAAGACAAAAAGATACCAGAACAGTCCAATACCATTCATGGCCAGCCTCCTAAATGAACAGACTCAGTAACAGATCTCTGATACACTTTTATTGTTCCTAGCTTGACGTAAACAATATTTACCTGTTTCCACTGTTAACTGCAGAATGTATATATTTACCTTGTGATATATATATATGTGTGTGTGTGTGTGTGTGTGTGTGTGTGTGTGTGTGTAATGTAATTCTGTACAGGTCACACCTGTAATGCATCGCAGCAATCACATACATCTACCCTGTTTGAAGAAGACAAAACAACTAGTAAATAGATAAAATCATTGTCTCTTTTAGCACTAGACATTTACTGAAAGCCTACCTGAACACAAGAGCTGGAAGCTTGTCTTCTTGTTTCAACTTGTCCAGCAGTCCAACAATCTGATGACTCAGAAATTTTTCACCAGTGATGTCAATATTGTGCTTTTGTTGTTCTTTAGCACAGGTGTATTGCTGCTGCAGCATGTGGCAGCTCAGCTTTTTCAGAACATGGCCAACCTTCAAGGCAAAAGAAAATAACTAGTAGTATTACACTGTATACATGGTGATACAACATGCCACAAGTATGGACATGCATAAATTTAAAGTAGTTTTTTTTTTTGTATACTGAAACAAGTCTTCAAATATCACCTTTTCTTTATGATGTTCCTTAAGCCAGGTAAGCAGTTCCTTCTTCAAGTCAGCCTCATATTGCCTGGCCTGTGCCTTCGTGATGAGAAGGTGATCACGGGTGGCAAAGTCACTGTATGTATCAGCTTCTAGTGCCTTGGGAAGAGAAATTATCAGTTTTTTGGCATATAAGGAGACAAGGAAGCGGAGTGGGCTTGGTAAACTACATTTGTGAGTCAAATCTTCAGTTGGTGGTGCTTGAACCATACTGTTACAGGTGGTTAAAATTGTCAAGATGTGCTCACGGGAGCCACATACATGTACCAGTAACATGTGCTACTTGAGAAGTCCATACAACGGAATGAAGTTGACCTCTTAAATGATTTGAGCTCTTGACAAAATACTAATTATAGTGTCAAGAATTGAGACTTTTTTTCTTACATACTCCATCTCTCAGAAGATGGTGAAAGCTTCTTTCATAGAACTACTGTAACATCACTATGAAACAAGCTTCCTTGTGAATGCTTCCCTAATGGTACTACCTAGTACACTTTTCAAGTCTAAGGTAAACAAAATATGTGAGTGGTTCCTTGATATGCAACTTGTTTTGTGGTGAAAATGGAAGTAAGTCTAAAAAAAGCTGATTCAGAAATGAGAAAGAAAACAAGTACTGCCTTCCAATTGTGCACCAAATCTATATTGTTTACAGCATGCATGTGATTCAGCACATACAGGTAGAAGGTACCTTTAAGCTCTCTCTTTCTGGCCAGACTTGTGCCATTGTGTCATACAGCTGTAGTGTCTCCCTGGGTGACAGAGTCAAGTCCCGTGGAAACGCTCCATCAGGGTTATCCAGGTTGTCCTGGAGCTGAGGGAAAAATACATTAGTGCTGATGTAACAGGCAATATTTTGGTTTAACAGTGCATCGGAACTGTCTCTGGGAACCGTCCACCTGTTTACTTGTGGACTTATTTGTCGACAAAAGTTTCACCCGACTTACTGAAGAAACGTTATTATGACAATGCGCTAAATTTTATAGCCATACCAGCAGTCAATAAAAAAAAGGTTAGGGTTGGTGGATTTTTGCTAGAGTCAGTTGGGAAACCGGAAACACAACATTTTTTTCTGAGGCCTACATTTGTTAGTACCTGTTTCACAGTCAGGACAGAGTAGGGGTGCATGGGAACAAGACTGTCTTCAGAGTTGGAGCAGGGCAGATAGACAGACTTCTCCAGGTCAGAGTAGCGTTCTCCATACACAACTGTTTATGAAAAGTCGGGATTGACATCAATACATCTTAAAGGCACATAATGTAGACCTTGTAGATTTTGGCACGAAAACGTGAAATATTCTGAATCTAAGATTTCCATTCAGATTGGTAGATGTATTTGCGAATTTTCAACATCAGCACATCATTTTCCAAAGTTCCCAAATTTTTGGTAACCTATAAAAAATAACCAGTCATCCTTTCTGCATTTGTCCTGTCACAACTATGCAAATAAGCATAGGCAGAATCCAAGAATATGCTAAGTATCGAGCAGTGACATGTGAAAAGGAGTAAGACCTTGTCAGCTGTATGTACATGTGCATGTTGGACAGCCCATTCTGCCAATGTGAAATGAACATTTCATCCTGAAATTCAACATGCAATGTAGCTGCATAATTAACCTATTGCATTTGCATAGTTGTGACTGAACACCGTAGACAGTTATTGACATGCATATTAGAAGTATGCATCTTCAGTTTCAAGAATTATGTTATTACATCTGCAGCACAACACATATGCTGTGAATATTGATATGTAGTGTAGTAAGGTATATAATATTTATACTTATCCATAATACATGCCATTAAGAAATAGTTATCGTTTTACACAATAACTACACAATGCATTTTATGCAAAATCACTAAAACCAATATAAAACAATACATTATGGGCATTTTTGATCAGTGAAAACATGACAAATGTATTTTTACAACACATTGGGTCTGTCCATGGTGCTGAAATGTTGGTATGTTTCCCTCAGAAGTATTTTAATCTTTTGGTTAATCTTGTTCCTTCTATTTGAGCATGTAATTGATGGCAAGTTCATTTGAGCTTTCAAATTACATTTTAATTCTTCTAAAAATGTTTAGCAACTAGGGATACATATACGTTGCATCAGGT